TCCGTATACAATAAGTAGGATTTATCACTAAAGTCGTTAGCATTCCATTTTGTTGCAAGGGATTATAGTTAATTAATGGAAAAGTATAGAAACAAATACTCCCATGGTAACTTGGAATATAAAATAATTGATTAGGCAAATATGAAGAAAAAATAATCAATGGTGAAACTGCATACGTGTTGTATCATTTTTTACTATTTTTGGACATATTAGATTGTTAGTATAAGACTTACGATAATTAGTAATTTATTCCATTCGCATACAAAATATAATAAGGATACAACATTTTTTTCCTTTACATTGCTTCATAAATTCCTCAAAGAGACAAACACCCACAACAAAACGACACCGTATCTCTCTCTACTCAACAGAGATCTCCTGAACATCTTTCTTTGGCTTCTCAGTTCTAGGAATCGCAACATTAAGCACACCATTCTTAATCTCTGCCTTAATGTCCTCGACCTTAGCATCATCAGGCAACGACAAGCTCGTGTTGTAGTAACCATAACTCTTTGAAGACCAATACTCATCTTCTTCAGGTGATCCTTCTTCTTCCTCTGTCTTGTGTTCTCCTTTGATCATCAAGATTCCATTATCTACCGTGATCTTCACGTCATCTTTTGTTAACCCTGGAACCTCGTACCTAAGTTTGTAACAGTCTTCTTGCTCCTTAACTTGACCCATAAGTTGATATGGTCTGATGTTGAAGTTGTCGAAAATCTTGTTTATGTTCTCTGTTGCTTGCATCAAAGCGTTTCCTAGACTTGGAGGAAAGAAATCTGTTTTTTTACAAAAGAAAAGATGCAAAAATTAATTAATTTATTTCATCAAATTAATATGATTTTTTCCAATGAAAATGAACACTAATGATAAAAAAATAATACTTTGTTCAGGTTAATAATTAGGAGATGTTCTGATTTTTTTTTTCCACATTATGATCAAAATACCTTTTATGTCGGAGAAAACGAAATGATCAAATTACTTGCTATTTTACTTAAAGCTCATATCATTTTCTTATAAATAACTAAACAAATAAAATAGCATATTAGTTGATTTGAGCTGATAAAATGATAATTTTTGTGATTCTTCAAGACATACATGTACCATCTAACCTAATTCAATGTATTCCATAAGAAAATTATACTATATATTTCGATGAATAAAGTTCAAGTATGTAATTTAGATCATAAATATATAACAAATGTATCATAATTTCTACCATATTTTTGTTTATTTACATTGATCATATATAGAATAGATATACAAACATACCATTTAGTGCAGGAGCGAAGTAGTCATGATCGTCGGTGTTACGCCAGAGACTTTTCCGGCCACGTCTCCGGGGAAAAATCCGACGAGGAGATTTCTTCTCAGAGACACTCACTTCTGTGTTCTTCTTTTCCTCTTGTTCACCAGTAGAAGTAGCCATGAGTCTGTTCAAATTCCTCTTGTTATGTCGGTTTCCGACCAAACTCCTTTCACAAGATTGATTCATCAAAGTAGGAGACAACTTTTGTTGAAGGTTTCTCAAAGTTAAACGAGCTAGAGCCATTTGTTTGCAAATAGATTAATTTCTTAATATTTGTTTTAATTTCTTTGTAATTTGAAAGAAAAAGCCAAGAATTGATGGGGTTTATAAAGAGAGGTTTTTGATTTATGGTAAAGTTTTTTTATAGGTTTGAGAAGTTTCTAAGAGTTTCTGGGTTGATTTGGAAATTTAAACAGAGTAGTAGTAGCTTCTTGTTTCTTCTACAACCTTTTTCTGGATAATCACAAGATTCTTTTTCTTTTTGATATTTGTTTTTTTTATAAATGATTTATTAATAAGACGAAAATCATGACTCAAGAACAACAGTCTTGAGCTAGTAATTCCTAGAAAGATCGAAAATCTTTATAGTCATTCTTGAATTATTTGTTTTCTTTTTCTTTCAACCAATCAACAATAGAATTATAGATTTTGTCTTTGTACTAATGTTTTTAAATCGGACCAACGATCAAATCGAAAAATCATTGAGAAATTTCAAAAAATGTCATTTTTCAAATGCCACTTTACAAAAATGTCACACTTTTGAAATCTTTAAAAAATGCCACTTTTTCAAAATTATATTTTCTTTATATCATTTATGTTTGAGTTAATTATGTTCTATTTAGGGTTTAGTTATGATGGTTTAGGGGGTTTTAAGGGTCAAAACATTTTTTAGGGTTTAGAAATTTAAGATATAGGCTTTATAAATC